AATCCATACCGAAGGCTGTGCTCTTTGATCTTCATAAATAAATGTTTCAAGTCCTCTTCACTTTCAGCAAGCAAGGTTGTATCATCGGCATATCACAGGTTGTTTATGAGTCTTCCTCTAATCCTGATGCCACGTTTTTCTTCATAGAACTTAGCTTCTCGTATTATTTGCTCAGCATACAGGTTGAACAAGTATGGTAAAAGAACACAACCCTGGCGTACACCTTTCCCAATTTTAAAACATTCAGTGTTCCCATGCTCTGTTTGAACTGCCTCTCGATTCAGGTACAGATTTCTCAGAAGTACAATTAAGTGTTCTGGAATATTAATACTTCGCAATGTTGTCCACAGTTTGTCATGATACCTAGCCTTCGCACGGTCAGTACAGCATAGCTAAACATCCTTCTGGCATTCTCTGCTTTCAGCCAAGATCCATTGGACATCCGCAATGATATCTCTCATTCCACGGCCTCTTCTGAATCCAGCTTGAACCTCTGGAAGTTCTCTGTCAATGTATGATTGCAGCCATTTCTGTATTACCTTTAGCAAAACTTTACTCACTTGAGAAATCCTAGGCATTAGTGATGAATATTAAAGACCATAGCCTTCAGTATGGGTTGCATGTCAATGTAACGAAGACAAAAATCCTCACCAATGAATCAATGAACAACATCTATATAAATGGACAAAAGACTAAAGTAGTCAAAGATTTCATTTTGCTCAGATCAACTATCAACACATATGGAAGCAGCAGTCAAGAAATAAAACAACGTACCACATTAGGCAAATCTGCTGCACAAGACCTTTTTAAAGTGATGAAGAGCAAAGATGTCAGTTTGAGGACTAAGGTACGCCTGACCCAAAGCATGGAATTTTCAATAACCTGATATGCATGTGAAAGTTGGACAGTAAATAAGGAAGACTGCAGAAGAATTGATGCATTTGATTTATGGTGTTGAAGTAGAATATTAAAAGTATCATGTACTGCAAAAAGAAGAAACCAATTTTTGTTGCAATAAGTAGAGCCAGAATGCTTCTTGAAAGCCAGGATGGCCAGACTTCGTCTCTCATACTTTGGACATATTATCAGGAGGGACCAGTCCCTGGAGAAAGACATCATATTTGGTAAATGGGGAAAAAGAGGAAGACCCCCGAACAAGATGGATTAGCAGAGTGGCAGCAGCAACAGGCTCAGGCTCCGGCTCAGCAACAATTGTGAGGTTGTCTCGGGACTGGGTAGCGTTTGATTCTGTTCTGCACAGGGTCGCTATGAGTCCATGCTGACTCGATGGCACTTAACTACAACAACATTTCAGTTACTGGGGAAAAACATGATTCAAAAACTTCGAACAGAAAGGTTATAAAATAAATATAATGGAGAAAATAAACATAAACTGTATCACCCTCGTTAGCAATCAAAATGCTGTATTTCATCTCATTTTTTTTTTCAATGATTTCTCCCATGGGATTCCCACCACACTTGGAAAAAGGTGTGGTAAAACAGGCATATAGAAATGTAACGTAGTACATATAACCTACTACACGTTACCATCCAGGAACACAGTTGGACTTTATGTATCAAGAGTCATAGCGGTAGTTACACCATGTGGTACATAAGGGGCTACTCTTGAAAAATATCCTAAGTCAGTTGTTAAAGACATACATGTATATGCCAAGAAAGCTCACAGCAGCATAATTTATAAATGCAAAATTTAAAAACAACAAATTTCCAATAACAGAGAAATAAGTATATTACCAACAATACAAGTTGGGCTGCCAACCGCAAGGTCAGCAGTTTGAAACTACCAGCGGTTCCGAGGGAGAAAGATGAGGTGGTTCTGCTCCCATAAAGATTTACAGCCTTGGAAACCCTGTGCAGGGTCACTATGAGTCGGAACTGACTCCATGGTACTTAACAACAACAACAGAGTATTTAATGCCATGGGGTAAACGTGTACCAAAAAGTGATAAAAGCAAGTTATAAAATAAAGCTTTATATACAAAATAACATAAATCTTGGATTTTAAAATATGAAAATCAAAAGGCTAATTAATAATTACGTTTTTTTCTTATGCTTTTTATCCTCACTGTATTTATTGTTGGACTCCTGGATTAGCACTATAAGATCAACACTGGACTGTGAACCACAAAGCTGGCAGTTCAAAGCCACC